TAAATATGACAATAACTCAGTATACTTTTATTATTTATTATATTGTATTATACTATATTGTTTCAATAGATATTATTTATTTTCTAATTTATTTAATGAGCCACATAGTAAGTATTTTTTTCGTCCCTTAAAAGCCCTTCCGACCCCGAGATGCGAACTCGTAATTATTTTATCACATAAACTTCGGTTTATATGGTTGCCTGGCAGCGTATGTTTTGCACACGCGTTAACCCACTCGGTGACACCGCTTCCGAAATGTTTGAATATTAAAACTCGGAGAGGATGTGGGCAAGGGAAGGCTAATTAGGATAAACAGTTTTTCATAACAAAAAGTGTAAATAATATTTTATCCGGACATTTATAATTGGCTTTAATATACGACAATAAATATTTAGTGATTAATATTTTAGCGTGAAATATATCAAATACCACATATGGATGGGTTTACCATATTCAACCTTAGTTATGCTGTTTCCCTCTATATGTCAGATTCATTTGTTAGGAACCCCTAATATTACATGTTACTATGTAATAAAATGTATGCTTATAACCAATTCCTACCTCGCTGCCGATATGACGCCGATGATCTCGGAGACTGCATGGGATCGGATGACCTGCGAAGACAATACTACCTGAAGATCACAGCAGTTTTGTTTATATATTTCTTGAACCTGTAATGAAAAATACTTTTAAATATAACAATTACACAGAATATTATTTTTATTATAATATTTTATCAAACTGTATTTTTACATTATGAAATACATCATTTATGATATTATTATTATATAATATCATAGTATATTGTAGCTGTATATAACAATACCAAAGTATATACTTTGGAAAAGCTCTGTCCTATTAAGTTATATTGCGCTAAATCATTTTAAGCAATCCACAAAAAACATAAAACAGCTATAAGTTGTTTTTTTAATCAAAAAACAGCCATTATAATAATGATTTAGAAATTATCCTCACTCACCAACGATTTTAGTATAAAATTACAATATATATATTTGTTTCTGCATTTTCCTTGCAGGCATTCTAAGTTAAGAAGTGTCTTTCGGTAGAACAAGAAAAAGCTGTTAGAAATGGTATGACGTGTATGTGCTAAGTGTATACAATGTATATCAATGGTGTGAGATAACAGACATGAGCTACTCCTCCTACTTCTGGCCGAATATACGAAATTGTGTATTTAAATTGGTCTACATTTTAATTTATAATTATTTTTTTCCTTTTGGCATTACAGACCATGTTGATCTTTTACCACCTTAACAAGACTGCTCTATTTCTGCCTGTCTTGGACTACTTATTTCTATTTATCTGCACCCAGCTCTGTTGCATCTTTGTTGATTCTATCTATCCATCTTGGCCTTCCACGTGATCTTTTGCCTTCTATTGAGGCATTCATTGTTACGTAGAGACTTCCAGGTGGATTGCTGCGAGCTACATGCTCCACCCATCATAATCTCCATGTCTTCATATCATGGGATACTGATTGACCAGTTTCTGTAAGCAGTTCTTTATTGGCCTTTCTTCTCCATGTGGTAGTATTCTGATCCCAGATCGCTCCGGTTATCGTGCGGAGGATTTTCCTCTCAAATCTTTGCACACTTTTTTCTAGGGTGCTGGTTAGTGTCCAGGTCTCACAGTCATATATTAGAACTGGCTTCATCATAGTATTGTACAGCCTTAGTTTGAGATTTTTCGGCATTTGAATACCTGAGCTCTGTTTGCGCTAGTTACACGCTGGTCTATTTCTACCCGTTGGTCATTCATTGATGTTATTGTGGAGCCTAGGTGTTAGAATTTTTCTACTCTCGGGAATGATTTTCGGGGATGACAACAACATCATCTGCGTATCCAAGGAGTTTATGATTCCTTCTGATATCCTCCATTTTTCTGATATGTTGCTCTTATTACCTTCTCCAGGGCTAAGTTGAACAGCATGGGTGATAATCCATCTTCCTGACGATAGCCCGTTCGAACTATGAAAAAAAAAAATAGTTCCCCGTAATAACTATGTCACCTAGGAGGCTATCGAAGTGAATTACGGTTCATCTCAAAAATCGAACATTTGCGGGTTTAAAAACTCTGAATCTTAAAACCTTATTTTTACAATGACTTTTATTAAATTATCAAAGCTCTAGTAGTAATTTAAGGGTCGCCACTATTACTACTCCATGAAATTCTCTTTCTTTACCTCATTCATTAATATAAATCGCTCCATCGCTACTGGAAGATCTCACCTAATAATAAATTCTACTGTATTACACATAGAGTAGATAATAAAAGATGTGGAGAAGAGAAGAAAGACGAATGAGAGCAGGAAAATAATGAAACAAAATTTTAAAAAAATATGATCTTTCATTTCATTTTTAATAAAGTTTACAGAATTGTTTTTATGTACTATGCTTTCTGCTAGAATAAGGGGTAAAAAAAAACTTTTATTCGAGAAGACCTCGATTGAAATGGCTGTAAGCTTAAAATTTTGGACAATTCTCCACTTAACCTATTAATATATTTTTTGTTTGTAAATAATTCATATTAAACAATTCAAGTATATCAAGTGAAAAATTACCAATAGCTTAACATACCACCATTGAGTTACATACACACGCACACAAACAAAAGAATTACTTTGTTCTTCGGACCAGAAGGGGATATGTTAAAGTAGGAAAACATAAATATCAATTATTTAATGGAAAATAAAGAAAGTATTTAAAACTGTTTTAATGTTGAAATAATTGCTGATTCCAATGATGATGAACCACTTCTTATTATTAATATTATTAACCTCATTTTTTTTTTTGTTTAAATTTACATTAGAACTACTAAAAAAAATTTAAAGCAATATCTTCAAAAATATTTTTAACATGAGGGGTGCCATGAGTTTCTTATCAATCATTAAGATAAGATAATGATCTTATAAGATCATAATTGTTTCGATATGACATTATTATTGTTAATATGAAGAATGTAGAAGGTGAAAAGCGGAATTAGTTGATATAAGGTTGGCTAACTGCTTTTTTTTTTCATCCCCACCAATAGGTTTAGAGTCCCAGCTTGTCTCCACACATCATAGAGGTTGCTAATACGAAATGCGAAATAGATTTACAGAAGTTTGATTTTTTTTCAGAAAGTGAAATGATTTCATCTCTAAAATTCGAAAATAAAGCAATCCATCCATTTTTAGTCGCATTTTTATTATTTTAATATAAATCTCCTTGTAGCAGCCATTTCCGAATTATATCTGCTTTTGTGGTTCGTCAAAATTATACATTGAATAACATTATATTTAACAACCTTACACATTACATTTATACATATTAAACCAATTAAATATTAACGTTTTGTTGAACATATAAAGACAGAGAGAAATTAGAGAAGATCTAATAGGGAAAAAATATTCAAACGTTAAATTTTATTAATTTTTATAACATTGATTTTTGTTTCTGTATAATGTTTTCCAATACAGAAACCTTATTTTTATTTGTTATTCAGTCTCTTATGACTGTTTTTTATTTTATTTTTTTAACTGTCCCGACCATTTTTTTTTGGTTTACAATTTACTGTATAAGGAAAGGTGGGAGGTTGTTCTAGAAGAAATATTAAATCTATTCTAACCAGAGAAGAAAATTCAATTCATTCCGTAGTGCTATGTATTGTAAAGACCGCCGGTGGAATTCATTTAATTATTTTAAATGTATAAATAAATAAATATCATAAGAGCTCACATCTGGCGGTACCTGAGCGAGGGTAACGACCCACGAGGACAACCTTTTGTAAGTGATAATAAAAACCCTTAAGAACCACCGACCAAGACCGACTGGTGAGTGTTTAAACAGGATCCAAAGAGACCTTCTACACCTTCCACCAGAAATATCGAAAACATACCTGGTTAGTGGAATACCTTGACCTGGGGGAGAGGGTGTGGTCATCTCTTAGGCTAGGAATATTCAGCCAATCAGGAAAAAGTACAAAAAGAGAGGGGGTGAGTGGAAGCTAGGACGGTTACAGTTTTGAGGAAGCACTTGATCAGGAGAGGCGGAGAGAGCAAGATATGGACTGATAGCTGGGACTCTGCTGGGGGTCAAGCGAGGACGGTTGAACACTGGGAGGAAGACGGAGGCTGAGGAGAGCGACATGGAAGGAGACTCGAAGATGATGATGAACCAGCTAGGTAATAACCCTCATTTAGTTATACAGATGTAAACTTGTGTTGGCAACCATAAATCATTAATTAATAGAATCAATAGAACACATGTAACTTTAATCAAACATCAAGCATTCTCCTCTAGTATGATTCTCAACTATTCATTATGTATATAGGTTTAGTTATTATTCTGTATATAGATGTTTTTGGTTGTTAAAGTTGATAAATATAGTAATTAATCAACCATCTTGTTAATTTTACATTCGACCATGCATGCCACCAATCATTAATAGAAACAAATAGTAAATTTAAAAACACGATACCTTTAGAAAAGAAATCTAATCAAAATTATATGGTTCAATCAAGGATACTACAGTAGGGGGTATGTGGTATCTAAGATTTAAATACATCATTAATATAATTTTAAGTTGATCGGTTCTCTTCTGAGACCGATATAAATACAAATAAATGCTAATATAATATATAGCAATACAAATAAAATATAGCTCCATCAATAAAGTTAATATTGAAAGAGACCAAGAACGTATGTACAAGTCCATAAGTAGAAGATAAGTTATTAATGTAGATCAGAAGTTTATTGCAACATATTAAAACATAAAATGTTACAATCATATATTATACAATACAATTCAGTATAATGTAAAAAAAATACCTTATTCAAGCAGCATCCGTTGTGAAGGTCAATTTCTTAATTTTACATTTCATTCATTCTTTTTGTCTGATATCTTTTTCATTCGTTCAATCTATCAAAAATCTTGAGTAGTAAGTTCTGTATCTCTGGACCACAAAGGATGATATTCTGTGGAAGTAACTCGAGAAGATTCTAAGACAAAAAGTCACTGGACGACAAAAAACTCTTCCTGGCCAATAAAACGATCTCCCCTCTTGAGGACCGGGCAAGCCATCTTCTAAAATCCATCTCATCCCTCGCGAGTAGAGAGCGGCCCTCGCTCTTGCGGGATGATTGAAAGACCCGAATCTGACTCTTCGGTACTCGGCCCGTACAGAGAAGGAGTCCATAGTCATCAATGTCCTTTAAGTCCTCAACCTCCAACCGGAACACTTCATCCCAGTATCTTTCTCCTTTTCCCGGATTTTCTTCTCTCCAAACCGACCCTTTCCCTCGAAGCCACTCTAACTCGAAAAGATATTGCGTTGTAACAGAAGAGTCGAAGGAAGATGAAATCGAAGTATTCTACGATTCGCCAGGTAGGGAATTCGAATCGTATCATCGGAGTGATGTAACCGACTGAGCGATTTTCGTGTCATTGTCGTTCATGTAGAAGAACATCGCTCAATTAACACAAGTCAAAACTAAACTAAAAAAAAATTGAACCAATTTTTTGTAAGAATTTTCGTTTAAAATACGGAATATTAAAATTTCGGTTATTAAAAGAATTATGATCAGATACCGCTTAAAAAATATATATTTTTCATTTTTTTGTCTAGTTCGTTATTTATCGAGGTGGTAATATAACCATTTCATAATAAAATTGTATGTCCATTTAGAAACTACAGAGAGAAATAATAAAAAAAAGTATGAATCTACATTACTCATAACTGAGAATAAATCTACTCAATAGGTAACTATCTGAAATAAATAATTACAAGATAGTTCTTAGGTCATTGGCTTTTTAGCTATTAGTGTATTTGGAAAAAAGCTCATCCTCAGGTACTAGTAAAACATCAAACCAAACTATCCCTCAAATTTAATATCTCTCACTATATCTAGCTTGGTTTGATTTCCTTTGGCGCCTGAAAAATGAGACTTTGAACCATGACTAATAAAAGCCAATGCTGGGCTAGGAATAAAGCATCAACGAGCTCTCAAATGTTTTGGGGGAAAAGAAATAAACGATTTCTTTATATATATATATATATATAACAATCTACAGTTACTTTTTAAAAGATACATCTGCAATTGTAAATAGATGATATCATTGAAATCCAAGCAGATGCAGATATTACCCTAGTGAAATTTAAGTAGTGGTGGTTGCGGTGATTGTTGTGGGGCTTAGGTTGCTAAGGGATATATGGTCACAAAAGACCCAGAAGGGAACATCTAACCAACGGCTATTATCCCTAAAATAAGATAACAACCACCACAGTACAATTATTAGTTTCAACTTCTACTAGTTGAGCGATGTTCTCCTTCGTGTACAACAGTGACACGAGAACTGCTCAGTAGCAGCGACATCGCTTCGACGATGCGATTCGAATTCCCAAACACGACGGATCGCGGAGTACTTCGATCTCTTCTTCCTTCGATTCTCCTGCTACAACACGACATCTCGTCGAGTAAAAGTAACCTCAAGAGATAGACTCGGGAAGGAGACAAGAAGATCCGGGAAAAGGAGAAAAATTCCGGAGCGAAGGGTCCGGAGGAAGTTGAGGACTTGAAGAACGCCGATGACTGTGGACTCTTTCCGAGATGAGCCGAACACCAAAGAGCTGGATTCGAACCTTTCGACCATCCTGTAAGATCGAGGACGGCTCAACGCTCACGAGGGAATGAGCTGAACTTCAGTAGATGGCCTGCCAGGTCCTCCAGAGTGCGAATCGTTCAGTCCACCGAGAAGAATCTTCGGCCATCCAGTGAGTCGAAGGATCTTTCGCAGCTCTTCTACAGAATACTCCACCCTCAGTGGTAAAGAGTACCTGCATGCTTCTAGCTTCTTAGATTTGGCCGTATGAATTGCAGTGATTCCTAGGAACAGAAAAAAAAAAAAAAAATAATTAATTATTTAATCAACTTCCAATATTTTTTTATTTGAAATTAATAATATGTTATTATTATTATATGAGATACGTTTTAGATGGGACTATCCAAGCAACATCTAAAACAACATTTATATATTAAGTAAAATATATTTATCCAAGCAAAAATCATTGGTGATTTTTAAATTTTGATAGTTATTATTAAATAATTAACAAATAAGGTTGAACAATGACTTTTTCTTAATTAACATACGAATTTTAAAATATTAATATATATTTGTATTAGTCACTTACTTCACATAAGCAATGTTACTCAGTTCTTTTGTACACCAACACAAATCCTACATAGCTGTCGTGTCTTCTTCAGAGAAATTTAATTTGAGCCTGCAGAAAGTACATCAGTGGTAGATTTCTGTCCTGCAAAGTAAAAAATATAATTAAAACAATTAAAGTATAATAATACATTACAATACTACAAAGAAAAATATTGTTAATGTGAGAAAACATGGGAAGCAATAACGAATAGATAATAGAGAATAAGGTATAAATAATAGGAAGGAAACAATAACCAAAGTTGTGATGAAGGTACGTTAAAAAGCAGAGATTTAAAAAAAATAATTTTTCTTATGATTTTCCAACTATATTTAGATATATATATATATAGTTTACAAATTGTAAGTTCGAAGTATCGAAGGTTAATTTAACAAACAATAACATTTATGTTACAATTTGAACTATACCTGAATTCTAAATTGTAGAGGAATCTTTCCATTACATTCTAAACAGTTTAAAAATCAATATTAATCCGTAGATGCAGTTATATATTTAATTTATCAAAGAGCTTTAACACCGCGAAGTGCGTCGGTACAGAACAAAGACTAGGCTGAGGGCAAAGTACAAGTGTAGGGTACAATGTTCAAAGTAGTGGGGCTATATTAAAATGTAAAAATTTATTTATTTCCTAACATAATTTGACCATTAATGAATATGTATGTTCATGATTGTAGCTAATACATGAAGGTTTGGTTAATTTAATAAGCCGTAATATTTATTTTATAATTTGAGTAGTAATTTTTTCCAAAATTTTAGCGTAAATTTTCATTACTTTCTTAAATAGTTTAAAAGTCACTATTTATTTGAAGATAAAGTTGAACTTTGATTTATCAAAGAGCTGTAACAATTACAACAGAGCTGCGAATAGACTGAGGGAGAAGTACAAGTGTTGGGTAAATTGTTCAATGTAGTGCGCGTATAGAACATAAAGAAATTTAGTTATTTTGTAACATATTTGGACAATTATTGAATATGTATGTCATTGGTTATACTATATAAATTAAGATTCGATTAATTTAGCAAGCAGTAATATTTATTTTATAATTTGAACAGTACCTTATTTCTGAATTGCAGCGTTAAATTTTTTATAATTTCTTAAATAGTTTAACAATCACTATTGGTTATAAGATGCAGTTTAACTTCTGGTATATCAAAGAGCTATAACAATTATTGCGAAGTGCGTCGTACAGAACAAAGACTTGACTGAGGTCGAAGTACAGGGTGTAGGGTCCAATGTTCAAAGTAGTGGGTTATATTAAAATTTTAAAATTTGTTTATTTCCTTATGTAATTTGCCCATTATTGAATAAGTATGTTCATGATTGTAGCTAATATATGAAGGTTTGGTTAATTTAATAAGCGTCATATTTATTTTATAATTTGAGCAGTAACTTTTTCCAAATTTCAGCGTAAATTTTCATTACTTTCTTAAATAGTTTAAAAGTCACTATTCATTTGAAGATACAGTTGAACTTTGATTTATCAAAGAGCTGTAACAATTACAACAGAACTGCGACTGGACTGGGAGAAAAGTACAAGTGTTGGGTATATTGTTGCAAGTAGTGCATATAGAAAAATAAAGAAATTTAGTTATTTTTTAACATATTTGGACAACTATTGAATATGTATGTCATTGCTTGTTCTATATAAATTAAGAATGGGTTAATTGAGCAAGCAGTAATATTTATTTTATAATTTGAACAATTGAACAATAATTTCTGAATTGCAGCGTTAATTTTTTTATAATTTCGTAAATAGTTTAACAATCACTATTGGTTAGAAGATGCAGTTTAACTTCTGGTATATCGAAGAGATATAACAATTATTGCGAAGTGCGTCGTACAGAACAAAGACTTGACTGAGGTCGAAGTCCAGGGTCTAGGGTCCAAAGTTCAAAGTAGTGGGTTATATTAAAATTTAAAAAATTGTTTATTTCCTTATGTAATTTGCCCATTATTGAATAAGTATGTTCATGATTGTAACTAATATATGAAGGTTTGGTTAATTTAAAAAACAGTCATATTTATTTTATAATTTGAGCAGTACCTTATTCCTTATTCTAAGTATCGAAGCAGTTATAATGTACTAAAAAAAAATGTATCTTTTTTTTCAAGGCAACAGGAAAAATTCTAAATATGCATATCCGTGCTTGTGCGTACATAAATTAATTGGTTAATTTAACAAACAATAACATTTATGTTACAATTTGAACTATACCTGAATTCTAAATTGTAGAGGAATCTTTCCATTACATTCTAAACAGTTTAAAAATCAATATTAATCCGTAGATGCAGTTATATATTTAATTTATCAAAGAGCTGTAACACTGCGAAGTGCGTCGGTACAGAACAAAGACTAGGCTGAGGGCAAAGTACAAGTGTAGGGTACAATGTTCAAAGTAGTGGGGCTATATTAAAATGTAAAAATTTATTTATTTCCTAACATAATTTGACCATTATTGAATATGTATGTTCATGATTGTAGCTAATACATGAAGGTTTGGTTAATTTAATAAGCAATAATATTTATTTTATAATTTGAGTAGTATTTTTTTCCAAAATTGTAGCGTAAATTTTCATTACTTTCTTAAATAGTTTAAAAGTCACTATTTATTTGAAGATAAAGTTGAACTTTGATTTATCAAAGAGCTGTAACAATTACAACAGAACTGCGACTGGGCACAGGGAGAAAAAGTACAAGTGTTGGGTATATTTTTGAAAGTAGTAAGCATATAGAAAAAAATAAAGAAATTTGGTTATTTTTTAACATATTTGGACAACTATTGAATATGTATGTCATTGCTTATACTATATAAATTTAGAATAGGTTAATTTAGCAAGCAGTAATATTTATTTTATAATTTGAACAGTACCTTATTTCTGAATTGCAGCGTTAAATTTTTTATAATTTCGTAAATAGTTTAACAATCACTATGGGTTAGAAGATGCAGTTTAACTTCTGGTATATCAAAGAGCTATAACAATTATTGCGAAGTGCGTCGTACAGAACAAAGACTTGACTGAGGTCGAAGTACAAGTGTAGGGTACAATGTTCAAAGTAGTGGGTTATATTAAAATGTAAAAATTTATTTATTTCCTAACATAATTTGACCATTATCGAATATTGATGTTCATGATTGTAACTAATATATGAAGATTTGGTTAATCTAAAAAGCTGTCATATTTATTTTATAATTTGAGCAGTACCTTATTCAAATTGCAGCGTAAATTTTCATGACTTTCTTAAATAGTTTAAAAGTCACTATTCATTTGTAGATGCAGCTGAACTTTTAATTTATCAAAGAGCTATAACAATTACAACAGAGCTGCGAATAGACTGAGGGAGAAGTATAAGTATTGGGTAAATTGTTCAATGCAGTGCGCGTATAGAAAATAAAGAAATTTAGTTATTTTTTAACATATTTGGACAATTATTGAATATGTTATGTCATTGCTTATACTATATAAATTAAGAATGGGTTAATTTAGCAAGCAGTAATATTTATTTTATAATTTGAACAATACCTTATTTCTAAATTGCAGCGTAAAATTTCCCATACTTTCGTAAATAGTTTAACAATTACTATTGGTTAGAAGATGCAGTTTAACTTCTGGTATATCAAAGAGCTATAACAATTATTGCGAAGTGCGTCGTACAGAACAAAGACTTGACTGAGGTCGAAGTACAGGGTCTAGGGTCCAATTTTCAAAGTAGTGGGTTATATTAAAATTTAAAAATTTGTTTATTTCCTTATGTAATTGGCCCATTATTGAATAAGTATGTTCATGATTGTAACTAATATATGAAGGTTTGGTTAATTTTAAAAACAGTCATATTTATTTTATAATTTGAGCAGTACCTTATTCCTTATTCTAAGTATCGAAGCAGTTGTAATGAACTAAAAAAAATGTATCTTTTTTTTCAAGTCAACAGGAAAAATACTAAATATGCATATCGGTGCTTGCACGTACATAAATTAATTGGTTAATTTAACAAACTAACATTTATGTTACAATTTGAACTATACCTGAATTCTAAATTGTAGAGGAATCTTTCCATTACATTCTAAACAGTTTAAAAATCAATATTCTTCGGTAGATGCAGTTATACATTTAATTTATTAAAGAGCTGTAACATTGCGAAGTGCGTCGGTACAGAACAAAGACTAGACTGAGGGCGAAGTACAAGTGTAGGGTACAATGTTCAAAGTAGTGGGGATTCATTAAAATGTAAAAATTTATTTATTTTTAAATACAATAGAACAATTATTAAATACTTATGTCCATAGTTGTAGTGAGTGCATAAACTAAGAATGAAGAATTTAATAAGCAGAGAGTTTTTTTTTTTTTTGATAATTTGAACAGTACTTTATGTTTAACTTCAGCGTAAATTCTCAAATACTTTCTTAAATATTATATGGTCTCGATTTATTGGCGCAGTTAAACTTCTGATACATCGAAAAACTGTTATGATAATTTAAAACTTCGTCAGTACGGAGCTAGAACTACACTTTGAAGTACCTTGTTCCAACTGGCACAACCACGTAGTGTCCAATGTTCAAATTACTCGAGTTAAATTAAAATAAATTTATTTATTTCTAATACAACAGGACAATAGTTGGTAATTATTTAGATGAGGACCGCACAGGTCACACGTG